CGAACCATCTCCTACGGAACCTATTTAAGTTTCGTACAGCGAAAAAAAGGTTTCGTAAGAAAATACGAAACCTTCATAGTTTCCTGGTAAACCCTAGGTTTCGCACTATAGTTTCATACGAAACCACAAGGTTTGCTAGGGAACTATGAAGGTTTCGTATTTTCTTACGAAACCTTTTTTTCGCTGTACGAAACTTAATTAGGTTTCGTATGAGATGGTTCGGAAGGTGTGCCCGCGTCCCGATCATTTAAAGGTTTCGTAGATTTTGACAACCATTTTTTTAAGCATTTGGACACATTTGGAAGCTTTTAGACACCTACGAAACCTTTTTGGAGGGTTCGGTAGAATACCTTTTTTTTTTACAGTGCAGTTACTCCAAAAATGATCAGTTTGTAATTGTTATTTAAAACATCAATACCTAGAAATAAAAACAGGCATATATTGCTAGAACTCTATGCAGAAAAAAAACGTAAGAACTAGATTGAGAAAGATTGTTAGAATCAAAATTTGATTCAAATGACATTATTCTAACACAACTGAATTCAGCTTTTTAACCTAATATATATTATATCCTGTGACTTGAGGTTTTTCTTATAATTCATGTAATCGATTAAATTTTATTTATGCATTAATATTAATTGAGTTTCAGTAGTTGATTCGAGGAATTAGAAAAGAATCTTTAAATCAGAAAAAAAAGCTCAAATCTAAAAATCACATTTTTCTCAAATTGAAGACGTGCTATTTTAGTAAAGATCTAATCAAATATAATAATCAGTTTTAATTCAGTTTTTGATGTTTCTTTTTACACGATCAGTTTATGCCTGACCTCGTCTAACATTCAGTTTCTTTTCCAATGTGCCTTTTATGTATTATACAGTTGAATTTTCTGCACGGATATTCTAAAAAGAGAGACTAACTTATAAAATAATAAAGAACTTTTAAGTTCGAGACTGACTAAATTCTGCACAAACAAAGCTGAAAATTTTTCAGTTAAATATCATCAACAGCAACATATACATACCTTTTTCTTTTAGTCTTTTTAAATTATTTACACAATGATTCAACCATAGATGTGCTGGTGGTTCAATATAAGCTATCCAAATAGAAATTACAATCATATTACGTCGACAAGAACGTAACTTTGGTGGAGCTTCTATAATTGATCCACTTAGTAACCACAATTTTAATTTAGTTGAATTTGTTATGCTGATGCCATCAATATGTAATAACAAGCTTATTAAATCATGACCAGCATTTTTCTTTAATAAATTTCGATAGGTTGTTCCAAATGGAATATCATTTATATTTTCAGAATCATCACTATTGTGTATTTTCTTTTTATATTCACGAATAACAAATGATAATCGAATCATTATTTTTTGAATCATTAATAAAACATTGCCGTCATATCTAGAAATATAATTACGAAAAAAAATACTCCAGTATATCATAAACATCTACTTTAATCTACATTATAATTAAAAAAAACTTACATATAGCCTATTGATTTCTTTTCTTTCGAACAACCCCG